TCTTGACGTTTGTTCAAGTGCTCTGTCATTTACCTGCAGTTCTGGCCAACAGGAAAACACAACCTCCTGCATTCATTACAGAAGCCCCTCACTAGTTCATAAAAAGTTAATATATATTAAAATGTAAGTAAATGAAGCCCGGACACAGCGACGTAAACTCCCCTCATGAGTCTCTCTCTCCTGCTGAACACTAGAGGACATGATCTGAAGAGAACTCAGTCACCAGCAGACTATCACAGTGTCTGTCCTACTGTTGAAGTGAATTGGTTTTACTCATTCTTCAAAACATCTCCTTTACATCACTCTCAGAGTTAAAGACACTCGAGCTGTCACTCCACCCCGCACATTTCTTCCTAAAAGCTTGACTTTAATACCTCATATTAATACTGAAACTGTACAAAAGTGTTCCTCAACATTTTCAGGTATAATTGATACTTTTGAGGTTCTAATATGAACCCTGTAAGAATAAATGTGTTTGAAAATGTCCCACCCCAGTGCCAGCTCGCGCCCCTTTATCCCTGAGAGAGGTGATGTGTGTCTGATCAGCCTGACTGTGCTCTGTTACAGCAGCATGACATTAGCACACTGTTTAATCTGTTTATTATTGTGGCCTGATGTTGTTTGTTGATCGGTTATTGATCATTAATGAGTGTCATCACCGTGTAGATGAGTGTGGGCAAACAGGTGTAATGATGTAACGGAGAGAGAAGCGCCGCGAAGTCTCCCTTTCCGGTCCTGCGTTGATCTGTGCGCACATCAGCGCTCTCCTTCGTCTTTCTGTGTCGAGAGCGCGCGCGCGCACTCACACACACACACACACACACACACCCCTCCTCCGCGCGCTGTCTCATCTCATGCACGCGGGTGGAGGGCTTTATAAGCTGCGCGCGGAGGCCACACGCCACTCCGACACAACTCTTCAGCCGCCGGCAGCAGGACTCCGAAGCCGAGAGTACAAGTACCAACCCGGGGAAGCGCAGCTCCGCGCTCGGTCTTTGCCCGTTATCCGTTAGCTCTCTGGAATACTGCAGAGCAGCAGCTCAGCACGGAAGAGGTTGGTAGTAAACTCTCTGGAGTTTGATCAGAGTCGCTTTGTGCCGTTGCGCTTGTGGAACTGAAGTGAACCGATCTTGGACATCCAGAACCGGGACGCGTCCCTGCCGTTCCGCGGGAGACCCGAGACTGTCGGATTTCTTACTAGAGAACTTTACACAGGTAACAGCGGCGTGCTTGCTTGGTGCACGTGTGTGTGTGTGTGTGTGAGTGTGTGTGTGTTTGAGCTCGACTTGTTGAGTGACTTTCAACTCTGCCAGTGCTGATCTATGCCGCTGTCCACGGTGCTGAACCGGCGGCGTTTACTCTGTTCAGTCTCTGCACGTGTGTGTGTGTGTGTGTGTGTGTGTGTGTGTGTTCGGCTTTGGTGAATATAACTGTTATATTGTGAACAGAAGAAAGTCCTCTGTGTGCTTCTGAAGGAAGATTAATAGACGCTCTGGAGAATCCGGCTAACTCCAACACTGACACTGCTCCAGAACTCAGACTGCTCAACAAACACACGGGAACTGATGACTGTGCATCTGAGGGCTGTGTAATGTGTGTGTCGGATGACTAGTCTAGTATTCAGAGACTTCTGTTAGAGATTCACTGAGGACCCTCATCCAGCCTGCTGCTTCAGCCAGTGTGTGTTGGATGTCTGTTGAACACACGAGAGCTGGGTGGGCTTCTGCTCAGTACAGCATGCTTCTCTATATGCACTGTTGATCTAAACACTGCTGCTGTTTGTTTTGATCATCTGCACCTTCACCGTGTATTACAGTGGTCTGTGTGTGTGTGTGTGTGTTTGCATGCTGAGAGTTGTTGCGCACTCCTCAGGTCTCTCTGTGTCTCGGAGTTCGGCTGGTGATGTCTGCAGCTCAGCTCTGCTCTCGGCTTGTCTGATCTCATGCAAATGTCTGATTGCTGAACAGCTTAACTCGTCCTGATCCGAGTATAAGAGACTTAATCAATGGCTCATTTGTGCACGCAAAGTGTCACTGCTGCAGGTGTGTGTGTGTGTGTTCAGCGAGCTGTGCTGTTGTGTGTCTGACAGCAGGTCTGAGCCCACAGATGGCTCCGTGTGTGTTTGGCAGCGCTGCGGTGTCTCAGACTTTCCCAGGATTAAACACAAAGTGTCTGTGTCTGCAGAGCTCATACAATCTGACACTCATTCACTGATCAGAGAACAGGAGATAATGAGCGCACGGATTCAGTCTCTCTCACACACACACACACACACACACACACACACACACACACACACACACTGTTTCACTTCCTCCCTCTTCTCTAAACATCAGCTGCTCCATCACTCCTGCTCTAATGTGAGGTTAGGGTGAGCGGCGGAGCTGAAGTGCTCTCGTTTCCTGCTCAATAGTTTCCGGCTTCTCAAACTCAATGAAGAGCAGAAAATTACACAGCAGTGCTGCGCTCACACTACAGGGCCGACATTATGACATGATGAACACTTCAGCTTCCTCACTCTCATCTGTTATTACTGACAGGGGGAAGATGAGGGTCACTGGAGCTCACAGCGGCTCCTCTTCCTCATCTTCCTCCTGCAGGAGAGTCTGTAAGCTGCAGAGGGAGAAAGCCAGCCGGCGTCAGGGAGAGACTGAGGGACTGTGCTTGGACAGAGAGAGGGCTCAGACGCACACACACACTCACACACACACACACACACACACACACACACACACACACACACACACACACACACAGAGAGCCTCTGTTTCTCTAGCACCTGTAGCTATGGCAACACTCTCTCTCTCTCTCTCTCTCTCTCACTCTCTCTCTCTCTGTCTTTCTCTCTCTCTCTCTCTCTCTCTCTCTCTCTCTCTCACTCTCTCTCTCTCTCTCACTCTCTCTCTCTCTCTCCATCTCTCGCTCTCTCTCTCTCTCTCTCTCTCTCTCTCTCTCGCGCACTCAGAGAAAGTTCTGCTGGTGCTGCTGTCTGCCGTGGAGGGGGCCAGTGTTTCTGTGGAAATATCCCGCTCCCTCCCTGTAAGAATCTTCGCGGCGCTGAACTTTCGTGGGTGCGAGCTGAGTCTTCACGGACGTCAGTTTGACGCAATCGGCAGTGCCACGTGTGAATGCGTGGGCAGCAGAGAACGAGAGAGCGATGCGGGCAGAGATTCCTGTGAAGGGCACTGTAATTATAGTCTGAGTGTAATGGCAGTGTGCGCATTAGCGGCGGTGACTGGGCTGCTCAAACACACACTAGTGCTAATGGAGGGCACAGCTCTCAAACACAGATATGATTCAGACGGCAGACCTGCTCCAGGATAATGATTACAGTGACTGTCCTGCTCTGACTGATGAGTGCTAACCGCCAGTCCCTTGTGTTCTTGTGTCCCACAGATATGGCTCTCTTGATCTAGAAGAAGCAAACCCTTAATCTATCTTCATCACAGTGATCAAGCGAGACCCCAGCTCAATCCTCTAATCCAGCATCCACCGGTCCTCCTGAGGAGACATCATGGAGTGGCGTTTGGTCTCGCTGGCGTTGTGCATATGTGTGTGCGCCATGTTCAGCCCAAGTCTCTGCACTCCCTCTGGCCCGGCCTCTGCCACCTGTGCCACCCTGGAGCAGAGCCGATTCTTTGGCGTGTTCTCCTCCAAGACGGCCCTACCCTCGTCTCCATGCTCTTGGACCCTGCAGAACCCAGATCCTCGCCGATACACCGTCTACATGAAGATCACCAAACCCACAGAGTCCTGCACTCCTCGCCAGATCCGCACCTTCCAGTTCGACTCCTTCCTGGAGACCTCGCGCACCTACCTAGGTATGGAGAGCTTCGATGAAGTGGTCCGGCTGTGTGACGCCTCTTCCTCGGTGGCCTACCTGGAGTCCAGCAAACAGTTCCTGCAGGTGCGCAAGGTGACGCCACGTCTGGGTCTGGAGCACGCGGAAGAAGAGGAGGGCAATGATGAAGGCAGCCAGTTCAACGCTGAGTTTCTGGTGGTGGGCAAGAGGAACCCCAGTATGCCCGCTTGTGAAATGCTGTGCCAGTGGTTAGGAGACTGCCTCGCCACCAGCACCCACGGAAACCCCTGCGGCATCATGGCCACACCCTGCCAGTGCTGGGAGCCACCCAAGAAGAAGACGACTGGCTGCTACAGAGGTGGAGTCTACACGGAGAAGTGCTCACCTGCTGCTAGAGACAGCAACCGCGACGCTGAAATCATGAGTAAGTGTGTTAGAGTTCTAGAACTAACCCATGTAGTCAATAAAGTACAAACAAAATCTTTTGCACCCTGAAAAGCAGAAGTTTCTGTCCTCCAGCAGGAGCAGCAGCTCTATAGCCTCTCTGCCCAAGCCCCCCCCCCAACGCCATCAATGCCTGCGGTCGCCATAGCAACAAAAGCAGCGCATACAAAGAGCGCCTCGGGTATTAAAGCACTTCAGCCTTTCAGACGGCCGTATCGTGGTGCGTGCTGGCATTTGGCCTTCAAAGACCTTTTGTTTTGAAAAGGTTCTAAAGAAGTTATCGGTACGCCGCCCCGCTGCTCAGAGGCTGCCCCTTTGACATTAAACCTACATTTATGCCAAAACAATGGCGCATCGATTGCCGATACGCTGACGGCAGATTTGACGCCTCTATTATGCTCATAAAGTTTATATGCAGATGCCAGAGTTGCCCAGCAGAGGGCAGCAGTGTCACAGTGACTCACTGGCAGTGAATGTTCCGTCCTCCTCCTCTCGGCATTACCCACACACTGAGTGCTCTTCAGCTCAGCTCATCTGGGTTCCTCCACTGCTTCTACACTGTAGATTGTGACAGAAGTTCTAGTAGATAGTGTCAGTCCAGTTCTCAGGGTCAGTGTGCACTCTTAACAGAAGTGTGTGTGTGTGTGTGTGTGTGTGCAGAAGGCTGGAGCGGGTGGGGCCGCTGGTCTGAGTGCAGTAGCGAGTGTGGTGGTGGAGTGCAGGTGCGCAGCCGCGCATGCCAACCTGAAGATGGCATCTGTGAGGGCGTGGTGGAGGAGGGACGAGCCTGCAACCCTCAGCCCTGCATCGGTCAGTTGCACATCCATACCAGTACACCACAGTGAGTGTGTGCGCATGCTGTCACATCTTACATGTGTGTTTGTGTTCATTTACACAGGTCAAGTCCGGCAGAAAAGCCAAGGTCTGCGCTCCATCATCGGCCAGCGGCGTGACTCTGACGGCACCCTCATGGCTAACCAGGCCCCTCAGAAAGGTGTGTTTCTATGGCAACACTAAATCTGCTCCAGCCGGCAGCAGAGCAAGTGCTGAACTAAACCAAACCCTCTCTTCCCCATGCAGAAGAGGCGCAGCAGGACACGTGGTCCTCCTGGAGTGTGTGTTCTGTGAGCTGCGGTGAGGGCTGGCAGTCTCGCACCCGCTCCTGCATGAACTCCGCTCAGTGTATCGGCCCTTTAAGAGAGAACCGACCCTGCAACAACACCGCCGTCTGCCCAGGTACTTCACGTCACACACACACTCGGTTATGTTCAGTTATGTGGCATGGGGCGGGGACTGATGAACTGTGCTGTGTGCAGTAAACGGAGCCTGGGATGAATGGGCACCCTGGAGCCTGTGCTCCTCCACGTGTGGCCGTGGGTACCGGGATCGAGTCCGCACCTGCAAACAACCTAAGAACGGTGGAGAACCCTGCCGAGGACCCTTCAAACAGACCAAGTTCTGCAACATTGCCGTGTGCCCAGGTGAGCAAACTCTTCGCTAGTCCACATCTCGCCAGCAGAGGGCGCTGTAGACCTCATTCCCTCACAGCTCCAGCATTTCTCACTGTACTCTGTGTTTGTCTGCTCTATAGTTGATGGATTCTGGAACGACTGGTCTGCGTGGACCCCTTGCTCATCCTCCTGTTCCAATGGGACGACTCAGAGAACCCGCGAGTGTAACGGACCCTCATACGGCGGCTCCGAGTGCAGAGGGGAATGGCTGGAGACCAAAAACTGCTTCCTCAGAGACTGCCCTGGTACACTAAACACCTGCGCACACATGTGTTCCTTTAGGGAGTGTGTGAGTGTGTGTGTGGCTAAAGTGTGTTGTGTGTCGCCCTCTAGTGGACGGCCGCTGGCTGCTGTGGAGCTCCTGGGGTGCCTGCAGTAAGTCCTGCGGTGGCGGGCAGCAGCTCAGGCAGAGAGTGTGTGAAGGGCCGTTCTTTGGTGGACAATCCTGCAATGGAGATAAAGCAGAGATGAGGAACTGCAACGAGAAGCGCTGCCCAGGTGAGAGATATAGACGTGCATATTCACTGACGGAGATGAGTGTTCATCAGAGCAGCGTCTGTAAGTGTCTCTACTGCTGTCTGCAGAACCACACGAGATCTGCGGAGAGGAGAACTACGGCAGCATGGTGTGGAAGAAAACTCCGGCTGGAGACACGGCTGCACTGCCCTGCCCTGCTGACGCCACAGGTACTGATCCGAGACCTGCTCCTTCAGTCTGAAACTAGGTCACAGGAACTCCTGGCCTGATCTGAGTTCTAGAGATGCAGTCTTCAGATCAGCCCCAGTGTATCCGTCTATGTTCTGTATATTAATGTGTAAAGCAGCTCTACAGCAGGTGTTCATCACTGCAGCACACTGAGCTCAGATCAGGGAAGGACTTTAGTGGCCAGAACTTGACTATAGCAGCTGTTGTAGAGTCACACTAACCCTGCTGCGCCCCCTGCAGGCCTGATCCTCCGCAGATGCACACTGGACGCTGTGGGTCTGGCCTTCTGGGAAAACCCCACTCACATCAAATGCGTCTCTAAAGACTTCCAGGAGATCCAGAGCTTGGTAAGAGAGAGAGACACACACACACACACACACTCTTTCTCACACACACACACACACACACACACACTGACTCAGAGCTGACGTGTGGTGTTTGCAGATGCGTAATGATGTGGATCAGTCTCAGCTGGTGGAGGGTGTGTCGGCGGTTCTGTCCCGCCTCAGGGTGGCGTCGGCGGGCAGCACACGCTACAGCGGAGACCTGCTGACGGTGATGGAGATCCTGAAGAACAGCACCGGGATCTTCAGAGGATCCAAGATGAGCCTGAGCAACGCTGATGTGGAGGTACACACTGATCCACACACACACACACTCATCAATGTATGCCAATATATGCTCATCTAACAGCATCTGTGTGTGTGTGTGTGTGTGTGTGTGACCCGCAGAACTACGCACACACCATCAGCAACCTCCTGCAGGACACACACCGAGAGAAATGGGACGAAGCTCAGCTGGTGAGTTTGAGGAGATTTTCTCTGAAACCACACACACACTCACACACTCACACACACACACTCACACACTCACACACACACACACACACACACACACACACACACACGCACATACACACACACACTTGAGGAGAAAATAGAGAAGCATAAATCTCGAGCTCCCACATGGCAATCTGTGACAGATGACTACACAGACACCTCACGCGCCCACACACACACACACACACACACACTTACACACGTCAGAGAACACACAGATAAACACGTCAGAGAGCTGCCCAGACACACACACACACACACACACACACACAGATGTTTAGCTTTTAGATCATATTTTTACTCATTTATTTTTAGTTTTTTCTTAATTGATAGTTTTTATCGTATCATATTATAATATTTCTTTATGTGTGTGTGTGTGTGTGTGTGTGTGTGTGTGTGTGTGTGTGTGTGTGTGTGTGCGCGCACAGATGGGAGCAAACATCAAGCAGTTCTTCAGTCTGGTGGAAAACTTCATCGACATGATCGGCCGCCAGATGAGGGACTTCCAGGACATCTACGAGGTGACGGAGAATCTGGGTGAGTGTCAGACGAGCTGTGTGTGTGTGTGTGTGTGTGTGTGTGTATATATGTTTGTGTGTGTGTGTCTGACTGTCCCGTGTCCCCACAGAGCTCAGTATCCAGAAGCGTCCGCGCACCATCAGCTCAGACGTCAGTTTCCCGCTGAAGGGCTGGCGAGGGATGATCGACTGGGTGCGCAACTCTGAAGAGAAGGTCACAGTGTCACGCAACGCCCTGAGCCTGGACGTGCCAGGTACACACACACACACACTCACACACACTCAAAGTCCTGCAGGAGTGTTGGACGTGTCTCTAATGCTCCTCCTAATGTGTGTGTGTAGATGCTGAGCAGAGCACCGGCTTCGTCACCGGCATCGTTCTCTACAGAAATCTGGGGCCCATCCTGTCCTTACAGAGGTACACACACACAAACACACACACACACACACACACACACACACACACACACACACACACACACACACACACACGTGTTATGGAAATGCCAAGACTTGCATAAATCTAATTGGCATAATTGGCAGATGATCAATAGCTGATCAATACTCTCTCTCTCTCTCTCTCGTCCAGCAACAGCACGCTCCTGAACTCTAAGGTGGTCACGGTGACGGTGAAGCCTAACCCAGGGTTCCTCTCCGCTCCGGTGGAGATCGAGTTTCCTCACCTGCACAACGTGAGTCTCTGTCCTGTCAATCACACCTCAGTCACATGTCAATCACTCACATGGGGGCGTGTCTTGTGATCTTATCCACACCCACTGACCAGACTGTGTGTGTCTGTCTCTGCAGGGCACCGTCAACGAGACCTGCATCGCCTGGGACGAGAGCGAGAGGTGGGTGTGTGTTTTGTGCGTTGTGTGTTGTTTGTGTGTGTGTGTTGAGTGTGCATGTGTGTATGTGTGTGTGTGTATCGCAGCTCTAAAGGTCACACTCTCTCGTCTGCCCTCAGTACACTGTGTCACATCAACACCTCCCTGACAACCGCTAATCATATGCAAATGAGCCTCCGCCTACTGACACACATCACTTATGACCTCATGAATATTCACAGGACATTCGAAACCTTTGCATAGTTCTTTCACCATCCCACACACACACATTCACACTTATGAACACACACACACACACACACACACAGAGGCAGATGGTCCTCGTCTGATGGAGTTTGGGTGTTGACCCGGCTGTAGATCTCTGCTGAAGCTCTTCAGTTTAATACTTCACCCTGAGCAGGCGGTGCTGTACTGCACTATTGACCAATCAGCATCCAGAAACACACACACACACACAAACACACATCAGTTATTGGTCTAGTGTGACACTCCACTGATCTTATATCTGAGTGTTTCAGTGTGGAGTCTGTCTCTCGCTGTACACGGAGCTCAACCACCTGCTCTCAGACCTGTGCCAAACACACACACACACACACACACACACACACACACACACACACACACACACACACTGTGAGAGATACACAGTCACACATTGACACACACAGAGATATGCATGCACACACACATTGATACACACACACACACACACACACATAGTGTACAGTTGTATATTCCCCATTTCTGCAATACACACACACACACACACACAAGCACACACACACACACACACACACACACACACACACTGCTGTATCTCCCAGCTCTGCTATTACAGCAGCTTCACAAAAAACAACAGAATCAGTGTGAAGCAGCTCTAAAGCACTCATCATCATCATCATCATCATCATCATCATCATCATCATCATCATCATCGTCATCATAATAATAAGCATAATAATGATGATGATGATGATGCAGGATTGAGTAGTAGTGGCGGAGACTGCAGTGTCAGTGAGCTGTCAGTCATCTGCAGATTCTGATGAATAAATATGCTGTATGAATGTGTTCATCTGCATGAATATGCTGTAATCTGTAATAAATATGCGGTCTGCACGTGTGTGTGAGTGTGTGTGTGAGTGTGTGTGAGCTGCTCTGCTCTGCTCTCTCTCTCTCTCTGTGTGTGTGTGTGCGGGCTTTATTTCCGAGTGTATCTAACCCGAGTGTATGTGTGTGTGTGTGTGTTTGTGTGCGCGCGCAGCTCGTCTCTGCTGGGCTCGTGGTCCGCGCGCGGCTGCAGATCAGTGTCTCGCGACTCCAGCACAGTGTGTGTGTGTGACGGACTGACCACCTTCGCCCTGATCGCGAGACCGACCCCGATCCGGTGAGTGACCGACCGCAAATATATGTTCGTATGTGTGAGTGCGTGTGTGTGTGTGTCCATCTGTGTGTGTGTGTCCGTCTGTGTGTGTGAGGCAGAGAATGATGAAGCGCGCTGATCTTCGGCTGTGGTCGTCTTTATGTTCTCCTCTGATTGATGAAGCGAGGCTGTGATCAATCGATCTTTAATCTGTCTTCATCGATCTGATCAGCTTTTATCAGCGTTTCCGTGTCGTTTCAGTGCATGAGTGTGTATGTGTAAGTGTGTGTGTGTGTGTATGTGAGTGTGTGTGTGATCGGGACCGCTGTTTTGATCTTTTTGGTGCAGAAGCAGTTGCCATGGCAACCGCATCCGCAGCCTCTCGCTGTAATTCAGTTATCAGCGCGAGGGAAAACAGCGCGGCGACGCGACGCGTCAGAAACAGACGCTTCCGTTTATATCCAGCAGCGGGAGCGCGCTCTTTTGACGCGTCGCGTCGCGCAACGATTATCGGGTTTAAAGACCTGTTACACGCCTTCATTGTGTGTGTGTGTGTGTGTGTGTGTGTGTGTGTGTGTGTGTGTATGAATACTAAACGTTTTTTAATTTTTCAAGGGCAAATGAAAAAGGGCAGCAGCTAATAGAACAGCACATGTACTGTGGTGTGTTTGTGTGTGTGTGTGTGTGTCCAAGTGTACAGTCATTTCAGAGGTGGCAATTGCCTACCTGCAGGACACACGCACACACACACACACACTCAGCTGGTAGCGTTTAAATGTGCTAATGTGGAGCAGCAGAGAGGGAATGTGGAGCGCTGCGCTCACCTTCACGTCTCCTTCACACCCGCTGCCCTGTTTCTGCCAGTCATCCAATCCTGAGGGACATGTGTGCGTGTGTGCGCTTGTGTGTGTGTGCGTGTGTGCGCTTGTGTGTGTGTGTGTGAGCTTGTGTGTGTGTGTGTGTGCGCTTGTGTGTGTGTGTGAGACACTGACGTTTCCGTGTTTCTCCACAGAACATGGACAGGTCTCTGTTGCCGTCGGTTACGATGATCGTGGGATGCGGGGTGTCGTCGCTCACCCTCCTCCTCCTCATCATCATCTACGTCTCGGTCTGGAAGTAAGACAATCTGCTTTTCTTTTATTGATCGTCTGCTGATATTACTGTGTCATGGCTGATTACTGATATCCGCTATAGATGAGTAATGAATTAAAGGGCCGGTAACCTCATCACTCAGTATTTAGAAAGCAAAATAAAGCCGTCACAATCATCATATTTATTTATAAAATCATTTATTTCTTGCACTTTTCAATAATTATGTTTATCTAAAAGCATAGCTTTGCACAGCAGTGGAGGCCCTCAGAGTCCCCGGGGCCGAACGCTGCATTGTGTTGAGCTGAAGCTAATGTGGAGTGTTTCCCTCCTCAGGTACATCCGCTCTGAGCGATCCGTTATCCTGATCAACTTCTGCCTGTCCATCATCTGCTCCAACGCGCTCATTCTGATTGGCCAGACTCAAGCGCGCAACAAGGTGAGCCCGAGACCTCTGACCAATCAAAGCTTAGATGCCCAGCTCTGGGGGCGGGTCTCACCTGTGTGTGTGTGTGTGTCTCACAGGTGATGTGCACTCTGGTGGCGGCGCTCCTGCACTTCTTCTTCTTGTCCTCCTTCTGCTGGGTGCTGACTGAGGCCTGGCAGTCCTACATGGCCGTCACGGGGCGCCTGCGCAACCGCATCATCCGCAAGCGCTTCCTCTGCCTGGGCTGGGGGCTGCCGGCACTGGTGGTGGCCATCTCTGTGGGGTTCACTAAAGCTAAAGGCTATGGAACCGTCAACTAGTGAGTAACTGTCCCACTGCCGGTCCGACTCTCTGCTTCACTGTGGAGATGAGTTTAAGGCTGTGTCCTCGTAATGCTGTGTCCTCGTAGTGCTGTGTCCTGTTTGTTCAATGCTGTGTTCTGTTCTCCGCAGCTGCTGGTTGTCTCTGGAGGGCGGGCTGCTGTACTCGTTTGTGGGTCCAGCAGCGGCTGTTGTTCTGGTGAGGAGCCACACATGCTCACTGCACTATTACTGCACTCACACTACTGTCACTGCATTTGCTGACGTGCTCCTGTGTGTTTTCAGGTCAACATGGTGATTGGTATTCTGGTTTTCAACAAGCTTGTGTCAAAGGACGGCATCACTGATGTCAAGCTGAAAGAGAGAGCAGGGTAAGGGAAACACTCAGCCACACACACACATACACACACACACACACACACACACACACTCCTGCAGCATGTGTGCTCACTGCGCTGTCCTGCAGGGCGTCTCTGTGGAGCTCCTGTGTGGTTCTGCCTCTGCTGGCGCTGACCTGGATGTCTGCAGTGTTGGCCATGACGGACCGCCGCTCTGCACTCTTCCAGATCCTCTTCGCTGTCTTCGACTCTCTGGAGGGCTTCATCATCGTGATGGTGCACTGCATCCTGCGCAGGGAGGTTCAGGAGGCGGTCAAATGCAGAGTTGTGGACCGCAAGGATGATGGGAACGGAGACTCTGGCAGCTCTCTGCAGAACGGCCACACGCAGCTCATGGTGAGTGTTCATGCTAGCATTCTCATGACTCTGCGTGCTAACAGCTAGCATGTGCTAACAGCATTTCTGATTTTTCCCATGCACAGTCTGACTTTGAGAAGGATGGCGACTCAAACCGACCAGGTGAGTCTCACATGATCGACAGCTTAATGCATTCATCTCACCAAACAGCATGTGTTCTTAAGATGCTAATCGATTGGCATTGCTCTTCTCTTCAGGTGGAATGAAGAGCTCCTCTGAGGAGAAGATGCCCCCTCCACAGATGCCCCTGCCCCTCGGCCCAAACTTCCACACGCTGCCCAACCCCAGTGGGAAGAGCCACATTCCCCCAGTGCCGGAATACTCCAGCCACACACTGACCCTGCGCAGAGAGAAGGGCCGCGACCCATCCTGTGGGAAACCAGTGTATGTGTGTGACAGCGAGCTCTTCAAGCAGCTGGATGCGGATCTGGCTCGTGCTCAGGCAGAGAGTGTGTGTGCGGACGGCAGCGGGTACGTGCTCCTGCCCAACACCACCTCCACGCTCCGCGCCAAGCCCAAAGACGACTCCAGTGGCTCCAGCAAGTACAACATCAGCACCGACCTTCCGCAGGCACGCCTCATGCACATTAGCGGAACCTACGCCGAGCCGCAAGCTGCCTACGCCACGCAGACGCTGCCCGCTGACCGCGTCAGTGTGTCCTACTCAGAGCGGGACTCACCCATCCAGAACATCCACAACATCTCCAGCGAGAGCCACATGACCAGCAGCCTGGGTGACACCTTCGACTCCATGAACTCCATGATGTCCAAGAGTGAGACCATCTCCACACTGTCCATGAGCTCCCTGGAGGTCAGCGAAGGGGTACGAGACTGCTCCACTGCTCAACCATCATTCTGTTCAGTATCAATGTGATGTTAATGTTGTCCTGTTTCACTCTCACAGAGGCAGAAATCTCGCTATGCAGAACTGGACTTTGAGGTAAACACTCGTGACAAGGCGCGTCTTCTTGGTTGAGTGTGTGATTCTGCAAGGTTTAACCGTTCCTTCATCTCTCTTGCAGAAAATCATGCACACACGAAAGCGTCACCAGAACATGTTTCAGGATCTGAACAGGAAAGTCCACCATGCTGAAAAGGACAGGGAGTCTCCAGCCTCTGACAGCAAGGTGAGCCACTGAACACACGCACACACACACACACACACACACACACACACACACACACCTGAAGATCTGTCCTGTGTGTTTACCCTGCAGTCATAACTCTGTGTTCTCTCCGCAGTCCGTCAGGTGGAGCGTTTCCTCCGCTGGCAGCGACAAGACCAACCACAGCGTAAGTGTGGCCATCCTTTGACAGACATTGAAGATGTTTTCAGATTGTGAGTCTCTAACCCTGACATGTGTCTCTCTGCAGGATAAGCAGCCGGGGGCCATGGACCGATCCTGGGAGAGCATGAGCAGGTCGCAGGCATCTCCGCCTGCATGGGTACGCAAGGACCTGGAGCCGCTGCAGGCCTCGCCGCTGGACCTGCAGGCGGTGGAGTGGGAGAAAGCAGGAGCCAGCATCCCGCTCGTGGGCCAGGACATCATCGACCTCCAGACAGAGGTGTGAGGGCGCAACACCAACGCTGAACACCTCGGTCTGCTTTTATTTGGGAAAGAGAGCGGAAATGAAGGTATGAGCCTGTGGAGGCAGAGAGCGAGCCTGTAGCGTCTGTCATTGAACACGCGTGTGTCCGGCTTCAGAAGCAGCTCTCGGCTCAACATGACTCTGACCTCAGCCATCAGAAGCGGAGAACGGGTTTCAGAGAGATTCTGGCCGGTTCATCGAGAGCTTCTCCCAATACTCTTCCATTGGTCCAGGAGGTGCCTGTGATCGCTCATTTTTCCGCAAGTCCATGTTGTGATGGGCGAATCTTCCCACAGGAGGGTCGAGTGCAGGAGTTGCAGCTCCTTCCGGAGCGGATCTCCCACAATCCTCGCTGCGTCAGACGGACACAGAAACACTGCCGTCCTGTCGTCTCTGTTTCTAGCGCTTTGCCTGAAGCATTTCTGGACGCTTCCAACAAACTTTGGGGAAATATATGTAATGAAACTTGAAGAAACGTTGAGAGCTGAGCATCAGTTTCCATCACTCCTCTGTTATTATTGCGAGACCTTTATGTTACTCGTTGGTTCTACTGATCATGTTATGATTTGAAGTTTCTCCTGTTGTCTGCACATTTGTGTTCATCGAGATTTATTTATGAAGTCATTCCCAAAAGCAGCAGCAGCAGCAAGATGGAGTACCCCTGCAGAGCATTATGGGTAATGTAGGCGGAGCAGCAGTGACTGTGTAGCCTTGGACTCTTTGAGGACGAGCTGTTGTTTCTCCTCATCTCCACCGGATCAGACCACTGTGTTCCCCGTTTCCCACCGCAGCTCTTTTACGGCCTTGTGAACGAAACCCCAGCACATGTTACGGGCTCCGGCCCGCCTGTGAACTTCCGCTCTGTCCGCGGGAGAGACTCCCAGTGCAGTAGAGATGCCTGGACTGGACTGGCATCAGTGCAATATGAGGACAGATGCTTGATGCCCAAGCAGGACTGGCGTTAGAATCTTGATTTTTGTTAACCATTTTCAGAGTTTTATATATCTAGTCTTTATAGAGCATTTAGAAACCTTTAACACTGTTCACAGACTATATTAGATATTAAACGAAGGACGACACAAGACGTGTGTTTTGCTGCTAAAAGAGGAAGGAAAAGCACGTCGTCCACACAGAGTAATAGCCTAGAGATATATTTGACTGTGCTTCAGGAAAGCATTATAGATTTTTTACTTGATTCCTCCATGCTGAGACACTGAACCTTTGGGCGTCTGTACGGCCACCAACCTGTGCGTCTCTCTCTGTACGTGACGATATCCTTCCTCGCGTTTCTGCGTTTGCGGGAGGTTCCTGATGTCTGTCTGAATCTGTGTGTATTTCACCTCCTGCTGTGAATGTACATGTTTGAAGAATAACAGGTTAAAGTGTCTCTTTGGAATAAAATAAAACAAATTAAAATGACACCGCATCTCTCTCTCTGTTTTCTGATTGCAAATGCACTCCCTGCAGCACCTAAACGAGTGTTTTCAGACAGGTTTCCCCTCGTCTGTCATTGGTCAGTCACTCAGATCTCAGCCCCGCCCACACAGTGTGACCTGTGTTCATTGAGCAGATGACTGAACATTAAATGAGCACAGCGCACACTCTCTGAACATTATGTGCAGCGCCATTACTTCACAGTCATTCATAATAATCTGTCATCTCTCCATGTCTAATGCCAAAATCACTTCATTCATTCATTCATTCATTCATTCATTCATTTTCTTTTCGGCTTAGTCCCTTTATGAATCTGGGGTTGGAATGAACTATAAACTTATCCAGCACATATTTCACGCAGCAGATGCCCTTCCAGCTGCAACCCATCACTGGGAACCACCTATACACACCTATACACTACGGCCAGTGTAGTTGATCAGTTCCCCTATAGCGCATGTGTTTGGACTGTGGGGGAAACCGGAGCACCCGGAGGAAACCCACACCAACACGGGGAGAACATGCAAACTCCACACAGAAACACCAACTGACCCAGCCGAGACTCAAACCAGTGACCTTGCTGTGAGGCGATCGTGCTACCCACTGTGCTTCCCACCAAAATATGAGCATGAGCATAAGCTGACATAGGAGATGACTGATTTCTGAGTATATCTCTCCAGCTCAACACCTCCCTCCTGTTCAGCAGAATCTACAGGTGTAGGAGTCTCCTGAGCTCATTCTGTGGAGGACCTTGGCGTGTTCAGCACCGGCTGGGCTTCCTCTCCCTCTTACTGCATCTGCTTGGTTAATGTTGGAGGAGGCAGAAGTCATTCCAGAGGAGGGTTAATACCGACACTCACACTCTCATTCATAAACCCGTCCCTGAGTGATGTGATGACGAGGGTGATCTATTCTTCTCCTTCATTACTACTCTTATTCCCCTCTCCGCTCATTTCCGTCTCTTTGTTTGAGTCACCGCTCGCGTGTGTCATGCGGTTCGTCAGGCCCATAATGCACTGCTGCGGCTCTAGTGCTGGATGTAAATGCACAGTGGCTCTCGGTGCCGAGGGAAATAATTGTGCGCAGGGGTGTTATTTCATTCCTCATGACGGTATGAATGTGCCACTCAAACCTTTGTGTGGGTTTTTGTCTTGCTGCACTCAAGCCAAGAGAATGTAATTGCGGTGTTGAATATTGTGAGTCACATGATCGCGCCGCCATGAATGAGCAAGTGGGCGCTCGGGGATTACAGCTGCGCTCCTGCGTCACGGCCAAATGCCAGCAGACTTTAGAGAGTAATTCTGCTCCACAGGGAACAGCTCTCAGCGGCCGACACACAGAGACCTGCGGGGACTCGACAGCTCAGAACCGCTAATGCTAACGCAGAGAAACATCAGCTGAAGAGCAGCAGAGCGCGCCGGGGTTCACGTACTACTGCTAGTCCAGCACCAGCTCTAGCTGAGACCTCCAGCGGTGCTGTCTAAACTGGAAAAACAAGAGCATACTGAACACATAACAGCTCAGAACAACCTAGCAACCAAATCACAACTACTCAGGACACCCTAGCAACCAAATATCTACTGCTCAGGACACCCTAGCAATCACACAACAACCATTCACAACACCCTAGCAACCAAATCACAACTACTTAGGACACACTAGCAACCATATAGCAATTACTTAGGACAAGCAAGCAACCTCACAACAACCACTCAAAACACCATAACAACCAAATCACAACTAATCAGGACACCCTAGCAACCATCCCGGAAAACCTTAACAACCAAATCACAACTAATCAGATCACAGTAGCAACCATTTAACAACTGCTCAAAACACCATAGCAACCAAATTACAACTAATCAGAACACCCTAGCAACCATCTCGTTAGTAACCAAATAACTATTTCTCAGAACACTCACAACAACTAAAAACACTCAAACAACCACATAAATAACTAGTCCAAACACCCTAGCAACCAAATCACAACAATTCAGAACCAACTAGCAACCCCACGACAACCACTCAAAACACCATAGCAACCAAATCACAACTAATAAAACACCCTAGCAACCATCTCTGAAGATGTTAGCAACCATATAACAATATGCAATTGCATAAGCAACACACCTACTCAGAACACCCTAGCAACTCCATAGCAACTGCTCAGAACTCAGGACTAGTGGTTAAATCAGGTCCTGCTGTTGAAGTAAAGCGTCTGTTCAGTGTGTGTGTGTGTGTGTGTGTGTGTGTGTGTGTGTGTGTGTGTGTGTGTGTGTATGTGTGTGTGTGTGCTGAACTGGACTGCATCTGCCTCTATCAGCAGCAGAGTTTGATGGCAGTGGGTGGAGAGCGCCTCCATCAGGCCGTCTCTGTCATTAGCATCTGCGCATCATGAGGAAATCTGCAGCTTCTGAAACACTGAGCGAGCCCGCAGAGAAAGCGTCCTCACACACCTGAGTCTCCTACAGCAGAGGAGCCGAGAGACGAGTGGAAACCACACCACTGCTCAAAGAGCCTCGCTCCTGCACACCTGATGCACACAGGTGATGATTACGCTCTGTTACTCATCTTCCTCTCCCTCTTTCAGGTGAGATTGTGAAATTTCTGTAAAACTCTCCTCCTCATCCTCCATCGCCATGGCAACACAAACCATCCAGCATCTTCTCTGCAGCCTGGTTACTCATGTCAGACAAACAGCATCCCCGAATCAACCTGCGCACACACACAAACACACCTGCACACACCTGCACACATACAAAAACACACGTGTGTATGCAAATGGAAAAAACCAGCACACACACACACACACTCAGACAGGCACATGCACACGCACACACACACACACACATTTTCTGATGTTCAGGTTATTAGATAAATGGGCCACTTCTGCTGCCTGTAAAGCGATCCAGATATCAGATGTGGAGATCAGAACTGCAGAACACCGGTGCGTTTGATCTGAAAGAAGGAAGGAAGGAATGAATGAGTAAATGAGTGAAGGAAGAAAGAAAAGAAAGAATGAATGAGTGAATGAATGAATGAATGAATGAATGAATGAATGAATTAACGAATTAACGAATTAATGACGAAATGAAGGAATAAATGAAGAAAGAAAGTAATGAATAAATGAATGAATGAATGAATGAATGAATGAATGAATGAATGAATGAATGAAGGAAGAAAGGGAGGAAGAAAGGAGTAAGTGAGTGAAAGAAGAAAGGAAAGATGAATTAAGGAATGAATAAAGAAATGAATGAATTAATGATTCAATTAATTAATTAATTAATGAAGAACGGGATAAAGGAATGAGTGAGTGAATGAATGAAGGAGAAAAAGAATGAATGAACTGATGATTAAGTAAATGAATGAACAAACAAACAAACGAATAAATGAACAAGTTAGTTAATTATTAGAGGGTGATGCTGTGGCGCAGTGGGCAGCACAATCGCCTCACATCACTCAGGTCACTGGTTTGAGTCTCGGCTGGGTCAGTTGGTGTTTCTGTGTGGAGTTTGCATGTTCTCCCCGTGTTGGCGTGGGTTTCCTCCGGGTGCTCCGGTTTCCCCCACAGTCCAAACACATGCGCTATAGGGGAACTGATCAACTACACTGGCTGTAGTGTATGAGTGTGTGTGTGTGTGTGTGAGTGAATGAGTGTGCATGGGTGTTTCCCAGTACTGGGTTGCAGCTGGAAGGACATCCGCTGTGTAAAACATATGCTGGATAAGTTGGTGGTTCATTCCGCTGTGGCGACCACTAATTAATAAAGAGACTAGGCTGAAGGAGGATGAGTGAATGAGTGAATCTAGAGCTGAAACTGAGGTCACTCTGAGAGCCGTCTGAATCTGGATTGAGATGCAGAACACACTCAGGTGACCCTCATGAACACACACACACACACACACAGCGCCTCAGTGACGTCAGCAGATGTGAGTCTTCTGGTCTTCAGTGATGTTCTTGAATGTCTGACTCTCAGGTGTGAATCAGGAGCCGCTCTACAGCTGTGCTTCAGTAAAGGACTGTGGAAGTGTTGACAGGTACAGTATGTCCAGTGTGATTCACCAGGTGAGTCAGCCGTGTGTGTGTGTGTGAGTGTGTTCTCCTCTTCTGCATGTGCGTCTGCTCACCTGTGTGTGTGTGTCGGACAGACTGACCTCACCTTTCTCTGCAGATGATGGTTGCCAGGAAACCATTTCCACTGGCAACAGCAGAAGTGGAGCAGAGAAGAAAACAGAACATGTAATTGGAGGAAAGCGAGTCTGCGGACGCCCATATATGGGCACGGATGTGCAGGAGCTGATAAACACTTCCTGTTATTCTGAACTCTCGGGTCAGCGGATCTGAGATTAATGATGATGGTGGCGGTCTGCAACACAGGAGAGCGCTGAGGTGAAGACCTGTGGAGCTCCTGTGAACGTGCTCACTATAAGAGACGACTCTGGATCAGCATCTACTGTCGGCCAGACACAAACATACACTAAAGCAGACCTGCGCTGCTGCTGTCAACACGTCTCTGCTGTCTGTAGTGTGTGAGTTTGAGAATACCCCACAGATAATGTTCTGCAGCTCTCTGAAACTGACCCTTTGATCCTAATTAGGCTGTCACTTTAAATGCAAATGACACTGTGCTCTTTTCAGAAGAAGGCGGAGCTACAGACGGCTGTGTGACAGATGTAAAACAGCAGTGTGTGTGTTGAGTACTGGTCAGGTGTGCATGTGTGCTTCAGTGTGAGTGTGTGACACAGCTGACACACACACACACACACACACACACACACACACTGTTGGGGTTAAACCCTACAGAAAATTGTCTTGTGCATAAAAGGGCTTTAAATATAGTCCTCCTGTCCTTATCCTGGACAAACAGAAGCAGAGGCAGACAGAAGCTGTGGAAGTTTTTGCTGTTTCTGTGCAGAAGTTTGTAAAAAATCTTTATTATGAATTATTTTATTGATTTTATGCTGGATGATGTTGAGAGTATACTAACTTTAAACCTAAAACATGAAATAAAACAAACTTTTTAACTGTATTTAAGGTTTACAATGCAAATCTAATTAGATCCAGCTGCTTGGTAAAGTCTCATATATATCTACTAAAATACGGGAAATATAACTTTACACACTCTATTGTGAATAAATTATAGAAATATTTGCATATTATTTAATAATATTACTAGAAATGCATATGAAACATGAATAAATGACTGTACATTTACACACATTTACATCAGTAAATAAACAGACTCAGTAATGGGCTCCAGAAACAGCAGAACTCTCAGTATGTGGATTGAGTGTGTGCCTATATTCATAACCCTGACCCTGAGCCTGACCCTGAGCAGTGTTCAGTGCCGGCTCAATGATGCTCCTCTGCTCAGCTGTTGATCAGCTCTGCTCAGTGAGTGTCCGGCTGCTGTGATGATGAAGTATTTTGTTGTGAACACTGCCCTCTCCTGACCGCCTGCTTTCCTGCTGTTCTCAGATCTGTGGATGTCCACTGGAGGTTCTGCTTGCTCCAGAGCTGCAGCCGCGGCTCCACATATAGAAACATAATATAGTGAGAGAGTGAGTAATGGTAGATCAGGGCTCTTTTTCTCAAAAGGTGGATCATTTTATAGTTATGTGCTTCATTTTCTAATCAATTTTTTTAATAATATAGTTATATTATAAATAAAATATTCGTTTTTATTTTAATATTCTATTAAATGCTGCATCTTAGTGACATTTAAGCACCATTGTTTGCTGGATTAACCTGTCAGATGATAATCATGACCACAATTTAAAAAAAAATAGGATATTGCCTATTGTCATTTATTAGACAAATAACACACAATTTGGCCATTTGAATAATAAATTAAATAAATACATTTAAAAAGTCAAGGATGACAACAATAGTCTAACTGGTATAAAAATTAAACTTTAATATGGGCCGCTTTTGGTGCTTCAAACCTTTTTATTGGTCTTAAAACCTTTTTCGATAGGTTATTATCATGAATTAATGATGGCATAGTAGTCAAAATAGGACAAAAGTGCTCATGTTTGGGTCAAATTCTGGACCGTAGTCAGTGGGTGGGGGTCTTTTGTAAAGGTAACGTTAAACACTGCAGTATACTCAAGCTTATACTACAGTAAACTGTGCTGTATTGCAGTGTAATATACTGTACTCTAGAGCTGGAGAAAACTACAGCACTGGCCCATTTGTTTATATTATAGATGTTGTGTTACCATAGCGACTGTAGAATCACCACAACAGATCAGTTACTGTAGTTGTTGCGTTACCATAGCGACTGTAGAATCACCACAGCAGATCAATTACTGTAGTTGTTGTTACCATAGCGACTGTAGAATCACCACAGCAGATCAATTACTGTAGTTGTTGTTACCATAGCGACTGTAGAATCACCACGGCAGATCAGTTACTGTAGTTGTTGTTACCATAGCAACTGTAGAATCACCACAGTAAACAGTATATATTGTATTTTTGAGTTCTTATTCTCTCAGCGGGCATTGTGGAGATATCCATATAAAGCTGGGCTTTTCAAATACAATATACATAGGCATATATATATATATATATATATATACTCACTAAAGCGGACAGATGTTTATGTGTGTATGTGTGTGTATGTGTGTGTGTGTGTGTGTGTGTAGCTCTACATGTGATTATTCAGCTGGACTATAATACACCTGTGTTTCTCTTCAGGACAGCAGACTGTGCTGTATATCAGACTGATGTACCCTGTTTATTTGTGCAATCATCACCTGTAAGCTGCAGAGGAGCTGCTTTATTCCTGGAGTGTTTGGACGTTATTTACTTCATGACATGATGATCAGGAATCATTACACACGCCATTATGCGCAAACAAAGCGCCGCGGTCAGCGAGTTCCCGCATGCGCAGTGCGGCCGGTCTCCGGGCGGCAGGTGGCGCTGACGGCTCTGCGCGCTGCGGCACGGTCCCGGTTTGCTCTACGGTCGCGTGTTTCCGTGTTCCGATCCGCACAAGGACAAATAGCGTGAGGAGGAGCAGAGTTTGAGGATCATGGCTCGCCTTCTGCTCAGGAGAGGCTTCTTCAGCTCGCACATCCGCATGAGCTCCGACCAGGTGTGTATGTGTGTTCATTCATTTGAGAGTGAGAGAGTGTGTGTTTCAAACACACCTTTCCGGTCAGTTTCAGTGTGTTTATGTTTGCTCATTTTAGTGTGTGTGTGTGTGTGTGTGTGTGTGTGTGTGTGTGTGTGTGTGTGTGTGTGTGTGTGTGTGTGTGTGTGTGTGTGTGTGTGAGTGAGTGAGAGAGAGACTCATCACGCTGCTCGCTCATTGGCTGTTGGACTGACTCTACAGTGGAATATTCCAGAGCTGCAGTGGTTAATCTGGGAAAAATCGAGTGTTGAGTGGTTGATTAATCACGCGTGCGCACTGTGCGCTCCACCTGTCGCGCGTGCGCAGTGTGTGTTGAGCAGTTTATAGCCTCTGCAGGTGAGTTAAGGGCTGTAAAGTCACTCAAGCGTTTGATTCCTCCAGTGGAGGTCAGCGCTGCGGTAATCGCTGCAGGAACGGAGCGTTTAGCAGACTGATCCGCTGTTGGAGGTGTCCGAAGCGAAAGAGCTGAAGCTGGTTTTATATTCGCTCTGTTGAACTGTGATCAGTGATGTGATCAGCAAAGGACACTTTCCAAATCATTATTAAGGAGAAAGTCTGAATGTGCGACTATAAACCTTTGCAAACCCCACATGATGGCGACACCTGCTGCTCTAAACTGGAAATGCCTCAAACTCGCATTAAATTAGCATTTCTAACGCGGTGTGAACATTTCATTCAGTGTACAGTGTGTCGGATATATGTGCTGTATAATGTGTGTTCTAATAAAACCCTGAGCATTCCTTTCATTTTAAACTGATCTGAGAGCAGGTATAAACTGAAGCTCTCTCTCTCTCTCTCTCTCTCTCTCTCTCTCTCTCTCTGTGTGTGTGTGTGTGTGTGTGTGTGTGCAGCTGGGTGAGCTGGGTACGGGTGCAGGTAAAGGTGGCGGTGGGGGCGGATCAGTGCGTGCTGCTGGAGGATCATTCGGGAGAAGGGAGGCAGCAGAGGAGGAGCGCTACTTCAGGTCAGTTAGAGGACATCATAATATAATCATGTTAGTAATAATAATAATAATAATAATGTGATTTTAATTGTGTGTGTGTGTGTGTGTGTGTGTGTGTGTGTGTGTGTGTGTGTGTGTGACAGGCAAAAGGAGCGGGAGCAGCTGGCGGCCCTGAAGAACCACCACGAGGAGGAGATTGACCATCACAAGAAAGAGATTGAGCGTCTGCAGAGAGAGATCGACAGACACAAGGGCAAGATCCGCAAACTCAAACACGACGACTGAAGAACACACACACACACACACACACACGCCTCCGTCCAGCTTCACAAACACAGCCCGAGTCTGCCTCTGTAGCTCGTTCCTTTGCCTTTCCTCTGTGTGGGTCCTGATGGGTGATCAATAAATATGGTGATGTTTGATTAGACCCGTGTGTTGCTCATGTTTCTCTTTCCTCTGATGTGGATTTCAGCAGTTCTTCGCGGAGTGATGCCAAACGTGTTCATTTCTCTACAGTAACACACACTTGATCATGGCTGACTCTGCTGCTGATGGTCAGTGAGTGTTTATTATCATGACTGTATTTTCAGGCTCACTCTGTAGAGTATAATGAGGCATGCTGCATCTGTACATGCCGCTCAGCTCCACTGTTCTGGATCAGTTCACATTGACTCTGATATTAGTCTGTGTGCAGCTGCAGTGTGACGGAGTCAGCAAAATCTGCAATGGAGACCCTCATAATAAAGCATTGCCTCCAGAAGTAAACATCTGCTGCTTGTATATATTAGCAGACGTCTAAATCCAGTAGCTCAGTGCTTCATAATGGTTTGAATTAGAATACTGACAGGTCTCAGAGCAGCGGGACTGTCCTGCACAGACACATGATGAGGAGTATAAGCACTGCCATGCACTTATGAACATTAGCAGGAGGCTTCAGCACAGGAACATCTGTGTGGAGAATAAATGTAAAGTACAGTAATGCTGGCACATTAAACATGTCAGAAGTGTTGGTGTAATCGTGCATTGGCTGGAGGTTTAATCTCTGCAGGTAGAGCTGTTGTATATTAGTTTAATCAGTAAAGCCTCATTCTGCAGGGATGAGCAGAGAGTTAAACTCTGCCCTGTAGGAAGTTTAATAGTTTCACTAACAGATAAGACTGAGGAGTCAGTAAATATATCTACAGATGGAGCTAATATTGATCTGTTATTGATAATGTTTAATTATGAATAGTATAATATTTTGACCCCGACGTGATTTGAACACGCAACCTTCTGATCTGGAGTCAGACGCGCTACCGTTGCGCCACGAGGTCCTGCTGGTGTTGTGGGGGTTTATCATTATTCAACAGTAGACCAACACCAGAGCATATACTATATATTGATATCTAACCTCATTCATATGAGCAGCGCTTTATTGTTAGCAGAATAAAACTCCCCGGGCGCATGCGCGACATTTGCGCGCTCCCAGACAACAGCTCGGATTATTTTATTTTGATTGATTACCGCAGTTTAATTAATCTGATATCCTCGTGCTTCATTAGTCAGTTCTGTGTTCAGCTTCTAGTTTCCCCCAGTGTGTGTCTTAATGTCCTGATTATGTGGAAAAGCGTTTCTGTATTAATATTGTAAAATAATGCCGCTCAGGTCAGATGTGTTGATTCAGTATATTTGATGTTGTTTTCTCGGAATGTATTTGTTATTTTATTATCTATTGTTTGTTTTTGTTCATGTTTTCAGCTCTAGCGCTCGTCTCTTTCTTTAATGAACACAATATCTGCTGTAATTAGACAGCATCATTCTGGCACAGCGCTGCTTTTGTCTCTGATGATGTATTATATCCCGCAGATCAGTTTATTCTCGCTCATGCTGCTGCTTGTTTTATTTTTCATTTGTTTTGTTGTAATTTTGTCTCCGGCCCCGCCCAGTGCGTGCTCGCTCCCGCGCGTGGTGACGCAGCCGGTCCGCCGCGCGAGGAAGTGGCGCTGTTGTTTGAGCGACGGGACCGTCTCGCTCTGTCTCGTGGGTTCATCTCCAGTGCTTTTACTGTAATTTACCGTGAGTTCTGCCGTCGATGAACCGGGACTGACCGCGCTCTACAGCTCCCCGTGCCACCCGGTCCACATTGTCACGGTGAGTGCGCGCGGCGGCGGGGGTTTGGCGGGTCTGTGGGTTTGAATTGTGTCTGTCTGGCGCGGCTGTAGGCCTCGCGTGCGCGGGAATCTTCGTTTGTCCCGTGCGCCGGTTTAACGGGGCTTTAGTGTGAGCGGCAGGGGGTGTAACCGGTAACGGGGGTCACACGTGAGCTCCAGACTGACAACGGGCCGCTACGAGGGCGAATGAGCACACATGCATGCTGGTTAGCATCGCGTGCTGTTAGCCTCATGCGCGAGGGGGGCGGATCACCGTGTGTGTGTGTGTGTGTGTGTGTGTGTGTGTGTGTGTGTGTGTGTGTGGGTGTTTGTGTGTGTGACATCAGTGTGAGCACGTGTGTGTGTGTGTTTCTGTCAGTGTCGCATCACTGCTCTGATGTTTTCCTCCGCGGGGTCACGTGTGTAAATACGCGCGCTAGTTCTCCTCTGTCGGTGTGTCGTCAGTAGAGCTCCGCCGCTGCTCTTTGTCTGCTGAGCTTCAGTCTGGAGGCCTCGCGAAGTGTTCAGCACGCGCTCCTGTAGTTATTCACCATGTTTAACGCCTCCTGCGTGTAATTTACCATTGTTATTATGTCATGTCATTCGCCATGATTCACTGTAGTGTAGTGCAGTGTGTCCTCTTCAGCTGTAATGTTTCCTACTCTTTGTGTGTAGTGCACAGTGCTGTGTTGGTGTTCAAGCAGAATGTGATGTAGAACAGTGTAGAGCATCATCACAGTCAGAGTAATATCACACACGTGTACTACATCTGTGTGGACATGATACAGTGCAGACAAAATAAATGATGGAGGAGGAATAAACAAATCATCCCTCTGTGTGTGTGCGTGTGTGTGTGTGTGTGTGTGTGTCAGTAATGGCCGCAGAGGTGAACGGCAGCTCTGTTCTGCTGAAGGAGGAAGAGGAGCCCATGGAGGTGACGGCCCCGCGCTCAGAGAACTATCAGGCGCTGCTGGATGCGGGTCTGCCCCAGAAGGTGGCCGAGAGCCTGGATAACATCTTCCAGACCGGTGAGTCTGCGGAGCACGGTACGTAATGACAATAATATTATTAATAACTAATAATCAGTTGTAGAAGCACAGCGGTGTGATTGACAGGTGCTCTGACCAATCGAGCAGCAGAAGCACTCTGCAGTCAGTAGATGAGTGTTAGTGAAGCTCCGCTATAGTCACAGCGGTGGTGAAGTACAGTGGAGCCTGCGCTGCTGCTGACGACTCTCCACACAGCCAACAACATGTCCACACACGCAGCTATACACCGTCCCACAACTCATGCAGCTCTAGTGTGTGTGCTGCAGCATCTGAACACGTGTGCGTGTGTGTGTGTGTGTGCGCGTGCGTGTGTGTGTGCAGGTCTGGTGGCGTATGCGGATCTGGACGAGCGCGCTCTGGATGCGCTGCGGGAGTTTAATGAGGAAGGAGCTCTGTCAGTGCTGCAGCAGTTCAAGGAGTCTGATCTCTCACACGTGCAGGTGCGCACACACACACACACACACTCTCTCTTTCACCTGTTCACCTGCTCACACCTGTGCTGCTCTACAGAATAAGAGTGCGTTCCTGTGCGGCGTGATGAAGACCTACAGGCAGCGGGAGAAGCAGGGCAATAAAGTGCAGGAGTCCAGCAAAGGCCCCGACGAGACCAAGATCAAGGTGTGGGTGTGTGTGGGGGTGTGTGTGTGGGCGTGCGTGCGTGCGTGCATGCGTGCTGCTGCTGTTGTTGTGTGTGTGTGTGTGCGCGTGTTCATACTGACTCGCTCTCCCTCAGGCTCTGCTGGATAGGACCGGATACACACTGGATGTCACCACCGGTCAGCGGAAGTACGGTGGGCCGCCACCTGATGCAGTGTTCTCCGGCCCGCAGCCCGGCATTGGCACTGAGGTACACTCTCTCTCTATCTCACACACACACACTCTCTCTCATCCTTAAACATAGTAGTAGAGAGTGGATTTTTAAGACTAGACTGGAGTTTTCTTCTTGATAGTCCAGCTGGATCTTCAGAGGAGCTTTGAGGTGTTTATCTTATACTGAAATAAAATCATGAAGTAAATCTGCCAACGTGAGACAGACTAGAGACAGATACAGGTTACTAATGTGGCAATAAACAGACAGACAGACAGGCAGACAGTGTCTCTCTGTGATGAGTGTTTGAGCTGAGCTGTGTGTCTCTCTCTGTGTGTGTGTGCGCTCCTGCAGGTGTTTGTGGGTAAGATCCCGCGTGACCTGTATGAGGATGAGCTGGTTCCTCTGTTTGAGAAGGCGGGCTCCATCTGGGACCTGCGGCTGATGATGGACCCTCTGACGGGCCAGAACCGCGGATACGCCTTCATCACCTTCTGCAGTAAAGATGCAGCGCAGGAGGCTGTCAAACTGGTGCGCTACACACACACACACACACACACACAGCGAGATCACAACACTCGCGCTCTGAGAAACCTGATGTAGTTAGGGCTGAGCACCAACAAAAACCTCATATCCTGATAATACACATCGTGGCAGAGTACCGTTTCTGTCTAATAGCCTGTATGTGTATGAGTTGAGCACCTGTAGAAGACTGTATTTAGTACATTTCTAAGTTGATACTCAGATATCTGCAACTTTATGGCAAATGTATATTGGAAAATAGGAATATAAAATAAATAATTAAATATAAAACACTTTTCTAACAGTGTTCTAAGTCCAGATACAGATGAAAGCGCTGAATAAATGCTCAGTGTAAACACTGTAATTAGAGATCGCAGCGTTCTCGGTTCTGGGTGTTTCTGTGTGCCGCTGTATTGTGTGTAATATCACACACATGTAAATGAGGAAAATATTACTGTAAACAGTGTGTTCTGTGACCCAATGATAATCTGAAACGACCGACCGTCAGCAGTTATTGACAGAGGTGTGTTGTTTTCTACAGTGTGATAACTACGAGATCCGCTCAGGCAAATATCTGGGCGTCTGCATCTCTGTGGCCAACAACCGCCTGTTCGTGGGGTCCATCCCCAAAAACAAGACCCGCGAGAGCATCCTGGAGGACTTCGGCAAAGTCACAGGTGAAGCTGTGTGTGTGTGTGTGTGTCTGACGTGCGGTGTGTGTGTCTGATATGTTGATTGATTGTGTGTTGTGTTTGTGTGTTCAGAGGGTCTGCAGGAGGTGATCCTCTACACACAGCCGGACGATAAGAAGAAGAATCGTGGTTTCTGTTTTCTGGAGTACGAGGATCATAAATCTGCAGCTCAGGCGCGCCGCCGGCTGATGAGCGGGAAGGTGAAGGTTTGGGGGAATCCTGTGACAGTGGAGTGGGCCGACCCGGTGGCTGAACCCGACCCTGAGATCATGGCAAAGGTCAGAGAAGGAGATAATCACCACACACTCCTCACCATAATCACCACACACTCCTCACCATAATCACCACACACTCCTCACCATAATCACCACACACTCCTCACCATAATCACCACACACTCTTCACCATAATCACCACACACTCCTCACCATAATCACCACACACTCCTCACCATAATCACCACACACTCCTCACCATAATCACCACACACTCCTCACCATAATCACCACACACTCCTCACCATAATCACCACACACTCCTCACCATAATCACCGCACACTCCTCACCATAATCACCGCACACTCCTCACCATAATCACCACACACTCCTCACCATAATCACCACACACTCCTCACCATAATCACCACACACTCCTCACCATAATCACCACACACTCCTCACCATAATCACCACACACTCCTCACCATAATCACCACACACTCCTCACCATAATCACCACACACTCCTCACCATAATCACCACACACTCCTCACCATAATCACCACACACTCCTCACCATAATCACCGCACACTCCTCACCATAATCACCACACACTCTTCACCATAATCACCACACACTCCTCACCATAATCACCACACACTCCTCACCATAATCACCACACACTCCTCACCATAATCACCACACACTCCTCACCATAATCACCGCACACTCCTCACCATAATCACCACACACTCCTCACCATAATCACCGCACACTCCTCACCATAATCACCACACACTCTTCACCATAATCACCACACACTCCTCACCATAATCACCGCACACTCCTCACCATAATCACCGCACACTCCTCACCATAATCACCACACACTCTTCACCATAATCACCACACACTCTTCACCATAATCACCACACACTCCTCACCATAATCACCACACACTCCTCACCATAATCACCACACACTCCTCACCATAATCACCACACACTCCTCACCATAATCACCGCACACTCCTCACCATAATCACCGCACACTCCTCACCATAATCACCGCACACTCCTCACCATAATCACCGCACACTCCTCACCATAATCACCGCACACTCCTCACCATAATCACCGCACACTCCTCACCATAATCACCGCACACTCCTCACCATAATCACCGCACACTCCTCACCATAATCACCACACACTCCTCACCATAATCACCGCACACTCCTCACCATAATCACCGCACACTCTTCACCATAATCACCACACACTCCTCACCATAATCACCACACACTCCTCACCATAATCACCACACACTCCTCACCATAATCACCACACACTCCTCACCTTAATCACCACACACTCCTCACCATAATCACCACACACTCCTCACCATAATCACCACACACTCCTCACCATAATCACCACACACTCCTCACCTTAATCACCACACACTCCTCACCTTAATCACCACACACTCCTCACCTTAATCACCGCACACTCCTCACCATAATCACCACACACTCCTCACCATAATCACCACACACTCCTCACCATAATCACCGCACACTCCTCACCATAATCACCGCACACTCCTCACCATAATCACCACACACTCCTCACCATAATCACCACACACTCCTCACCATAATCACCACACACTCCTCACCATAATCACCACACACTCCTCACCATAATCACCGCACACTCCTCACCATAATCACCGCACACTCCTCACCATAATCACCGCACACTCCTCACCATAATCACCGCACACTCCTCACCATAATCACCGCACACTCCTCACCATAATCACCGCACACTCCTCACCATAATCACCGCACACTCCTCACCATAATCACCGCACACTCCTCACCATAATCACCGCACACTCCTCACCATAATCACCGCACACTCCTCACCATAATCACCGCACACTCCTCACCATAATCACCGCACACTCCTCACCATAATCACCGCACACTCCTCACCATAATCACCACACACTCCTCACCATAATCACCACACACTCCTCACCATAATCACCGCACACTCCTCACCATAATCACCGCACACTCCTCACCATAATCACCGCACACTCCTCACCATAATCACCGCACACTCCTCACCATAATCACCGCACACTCCTCACCATAATCACCGCACACTCCTCACCATAATCACCGCACACTCCTCACCATAATCACCGCACACTCCTCACCATAATCACCACACACTCCTCACCTTAATCACCACACACTCCTCACCTTAATCACCACACACTCCTCACCTTAATCACCACACACTCCTCACCTTAATCACCACACACTCCTCACCTTAATCACCGCACACTCCTCACCTTAATCACCGCACACTCCTCACCATAATCACCGCACACTCCTCACCATAATCACCACACACTCCTCACCATAATCACCACACACTCCTCACCATAATCACCGCACACTCCTCACCATAATCACCGCACACTCCTCACCATAATCACCGCACACTCCTCACCTTAATCACCACACACTCCTCACCTTAATCACCACACACTCCTCACCATAATCACCGCACACTCTTCACCATAATCACCACACACTCCTCACCATAATCACCGCACACTCCTCACCATAATCACCACACACTCCTCACCTTAATCACCACACACTCCTCACCATAATCACCACACACTCTTCACCATAATCACCGCACACTCCTCACCATAATCACCACACACTCTTCACCTTAATCACCACACACTCTTCACCATAATCACCACACACTCCTCACCATAATCACCGCACACTCTTCAGAGTAATAATCACAGTGCATTCTTAATAATCACAGGTGAAGGTGCTGTTTGTGCGTAAGTTGGCTACGCCGGTCACAGAGGAGCTGCTGGAGAAAACCTTCTCTCAGTTCGGGAAGCTGGAGCGCGTCAAGAAGCTGAAGGACTACGCCTTCGTGCACTTTGAGGAGCGCGACGCTGCGGTTAAGGTGTGTGTGTGTGTGTGTGTGTGTGTGTGTGTGTGTGTGTGTGTGTGTGTGGAGAATCACTGATATCTGAGTTGGGGTTATCCTGGAGGAGCTCTGTGATTATGGCTAATCCAGGTTTACTCTGAAATACATGCAGGATCAAACTGATGGTGTTAACACAGCTATGGTAGATGCAAGCAGCATTCCTTAAATGTGTGTGTGTACGTGTGTGTGTGTCAGGCGATGCAGGAGATGAACGGTAAGGAACTGGGCGGTGAGGAGATCGAGATCGTGCTGGCAAAACCTCCAGATAAAAAGAGGAAAGAGCGGCAAGCAGCCCGACAGACCACCAGAAACACAGGGTGAGACACACACACACACACACACACACATACACATTCTTACAGCCTTATATACACATACACACACTAGCATGCACTCTGATACACACATTTGTACACACACACACACTCCTCACCAGCCGTATCTGTATCTCAGCTCCTCATTGGCTGACGCTGGTTGAATATGTAAATGTCTCCTCTGCAGGTACGATGACTATTATTACTACCCTCCTCCTCGTATGCCTCCTCCTGGGCGTGGCCGTGGGCGTGGTGGACGCGGTGGTTACTCCTATCCTCCTGATTACTACGGTTATGAGGAGTACTATGACGACTACTATGGCGGTTATGATTACCATGACTACCGAGGTGGCTATGACGACCCCTACTATGGTTACGACGACGGATACACCATGAGGGGGCGGGGCACTCGTGGCAGTCGTGGAGCTCCGCCTCCCCCTAGAGGCCGGGCAGCTCCACCCACCCGTGGCAGGGGTGGGTATCCTCCAAGGGGTGGGGCTCCGATGGGGTCAGGGCGCGGTGGGCGGGGCGGACGCGGCGGGCCCTTTCAGCTCCCCCGGGGGCGCGGCACTCGCGGGGCACGAGGAAACCGTGGCGGGAACGTAGGCGGGAAACGCAAGGCGGACGTGTTCAACCAGCCGGACTCCAAACGCCGGCAGACCAACCAGCAGAACTGGGGCTCGCAGCCGATCGCGCAGCAGCCCCTGCAGCAGGGCGGCGAGTACTCCAGCGGATACAGCTACAGCAACGACTCGCTCGAGTTCTCACAGGACTCCTACGGCCAGCAGTGGAAGTAGAGCCCCGCCCCCTGCAGGAGCAGCACCCTGATTGGCCAGCAGTGTTTGTTTGACTTTTCTATCCCCGTAGAGTCAGGGCGTGTCCGCGGCGGGACGTCTGGCCACTTTTATCCCACATCCTCCTCTTGTTTTAAATCCACCATGAGCGTTTTAAAGAAGACTCTGTGAGGACGCTAATCATGAAATGGCCTTCTGCAGAGATGTGTGTCCTCGTCCTCCTCCTCCTCCTCTCAGTAATAGTGGCGTAGGGACTTGCGTGTAAATAACGGCTGTCGACTAGAGCTTCCTTTCCTTTCCTTTGTTTTTGCAGCGGTGGAGAAAAGAATCCACCAGAAGGAGAAGCGTTTTGTAGCAGCAGGACCGCTGTTTCCGTGTCTGTTTAGCATTTCTAGAAGTAGTGGTTGTGTTTTTTAACTGATGTACTGATATTATACCCTCAGATGTCTTCTGTTTTCCATTGGGATTTGCTGGTGAGGGTTTGGTCTGGCTTACCTTAAGAGCTGCGGCCGCTGGTCTGATGTTTGTATTTATAACTTTATTTTTATTTTGTTCAGTTTCAATAAAACTCGATCGAGCAACTTCCACTGCTGTCTGACCCCTGTGTGCGTGTGCGCGTGTGTGTGTGTGTGTGTGTGTGTGTGTGCGCGTGCAAGCGTGTGCGAGAGTTTGATCATGAGTGTCTAAAACTCTGTGTGTGTGTGTGTCAGTGTCAGGTAATGGTTATCACTTGAGTTGAGGGTTAATCGGACAGTGTTAAAGGGCCACTACACCTCCTGTCTCAGCAGGGCGTTTCACACCTCTAGTCTGAATCGTCAGGACAGTGGGTGTGTCCAGCTGTGTTAAGGTGGGCGTGTCAGGGGAGGGAAAGAGGGAAGATTTTGCATAAAAATGGGAGTTTCCGTTTGGGCATGCGCTGATTTAAGCTGCGGTCACACAGGGCTTTTCCTCATAGACTTCCATTCATGCGCACGCGAATGCGTCAGACCGGAAACGCAGGGTCACGCCTCAAGTTTCGCAGGTCGCTGCAGTGCACAGTTCAAGCTTGGTGACCTCTGACCTGCGAAATCAGAATATGGCATGCTCAAACTCTAATGTCTAGTAATAAGCAGTAACAGTGGTCACACTAGAGTTTGTGTGCAATATTCTGTCGGGCGGCGCTGCGAAAAGAGATTAAACAAGATTAGACATTTAATAAAGCGAGCGACTGATCCATGATTTACATTTCTGTCCAGAGAGGTCCTGTTTTGATCCTCGATTGGTCTTACTCAGTCCACTGATGCAATTCCGCAGGTCAGAGTTTGTCTGTATTTATTCATTTGTTTATTTAATAAATATATGGCTTTGGTGCTTTTATAAAATAGGAGTGGATAAACGTATTGGACTGCACAGACAGCATTTTGACTGAATGTAGTGGGCCGCTCCGGCCTAAAGTATCAGTGCTGATTTTTTTTGCCCGTTCAGCTCTGGACACAGAGGAGAGAGACAGTGACTGTTTACATGGACATCAGTAATCCAATTATTAGTTATTCATTAGTGGACTGTAACTGCAGTCCGGCACTTTCACTGTCATTCAGGAGCATTTGCTGCACGCCCCCGCCACATAATGCAGGAACTGCAGGAGGAGTGTGGTGTTCATGGAGAGTTTGATACCGCACCATTCAAATGTGCATTTCACTGTAACTCAGACGCACTCGGTTAATCAAATCACTTTTATTGTCACATCATCATCATCATCAGCGGCAGCAGCACGTGTGCCATGATGAGTGAAGAGCGCAGCGTCAGACAGCGAGTGTGTACAGACTATCCTGTCACAACATGAGGAGAACATCCTCCAGGACGGGTATAGTTTGATTGCGGTGTTGTACACTGGGAGAGCAGCATTTACAGCGGATCTCTCAGCTCATTATACTGTAGATGCTCAGCAGAGCGCACTGACTGAGCCGTCCGGATCAGCAGGTACAGTAGCTGTACTGTCATAAAGACACGGCGAGGGGGAATGGAAGTGAATGCAGTGCTACTCTTGTCTGGTCAGGTTCCCACTTTATATCGTATATCCATCAGGCAGCGGAGAACTCTGATTTTAAAGAAAACAGACCTTAAACGCGACGATTTTGGAGTTCACCGGAAGTCATCGGGCTCACTGAAGTTAAAAGTCCGTCTGCATGTAGCTTACTGAAGATGTTTATTTCTGTCCTGTTTCAGTGCTGAACGGCAGATTTCAGGTCTCCTCAGTGCTGCTCATTCATACTGTGAGTGCAAATATAAGAGCATCTAAACTAATGGCAGGCTTATACTGTTAAAGGAAGCGTTATAGCTATATTTATTGGGAAAACTCTTGTCTGTACATCAAAATGAAGTGAATTCAGGATGATAAAGAACTCATAATATAACTTTAGTTTATGATGTGAAGCAGACAGTCCTTTAAGGCAGTGCTCAGAGTCAGCCGTAGCGGAGAATAAACTGAATTTACCGTATTTGTCTTATAAGCGGGGACTTTTATTTTCTGATGACGTGTTTCCGCCGTCGGACAGTAGCAAGATGGCGGCGGGCGGCAGTGGAGAAGATGCGTTTCAGACCTTCTACACAGAGGTGAGGCTGAAACACACACACACACTTACACACACACATACACGCATACACACACTTACAGACGACAGAATAAATCAACAACCGGTGAGATTCAGCGAGATACACACACGCGGGCTGCGTCTCATCGAGTGAGCTCCCTACACAGACAACACTGTAGTCAGTACTGCTGAGTGTGTGTGACATTCAGCACCGTCCGGGTGTCTAACTTTCATTATTTAAGAATAATGTCAAAATCTGTCAGTAATAATTAAATAAGCCACAATAACCACAGCTGGTGTGTTAATATAATGACTGCTGTAACGCCCGCTAATCTGAGAATATACCATAATATACTGTAATATAGTTCCGGCTGGTGTGTGTGTGTGTGTGTGTGTGTGTGTGTGAGAGTGTGTTGGTCAGCAGGTCCTGGTCTGAGTGTGTCTGCACACTGATGATGATGATGATGATGTCGGTATATGACTGTACAGATATTCTGTCAGCGCTCTGTCACACACACCGGCTCAGCTGATCTCTGATCAGTGGGTCATTAATATCTATAATGAGTGTTTAGTGTGGCAGAGCCGGAGATCCTACAGAGTTCTGCTCCAACCCTGATCAAGCGCTCATGAACCAGGTACTAGAGTGTGAGCAGCACCTGATGATCGCCGGCAGGTGTGTTTGATCTGCAACTGAAGTCTGCTGGAAGGGAGATCTCCAGGACCAGGGTTGAGCAGCGCTGCTGTAGCTGGACTCGGCGTGTGTTCAGGGTATAGCGCGGTTTGGGAAACTCGACCATTTAAAACGGTTAAATTGTTCTGCTCCACTGCTGCATCACCAACACCTATAAACATCACTCTGTGGCCCTCAGATATCAGGCGTGTGTGTGTGCGTGCGTGCGTGTGTGTGTGTGTGTACTGCGGTGGTGAAAGTATTCCAGCACTCTATAAGGCATTTTTATCCCCATTTGATGTGTGTGTGTGTGTGTGTGTGTGTGTGTGTGTGTGTGTGTGTGTGTGTGTGCAGGTGAAGCAGATCGAGAAGAGAGACTCTGTTTTGACGTCTAAGCAGCAGATCGACCGGTTACTGCGACCCGGAGCCTCCTACTTCAACCTCAACCCATTTGAGGCCAGTCCACACACACACACACACACACACACACACACACACACACACACACACCTCCGTACTGGTAATCTGCTTCATTACTGATACCTGATCATAACGCAGATGTGTGTGTGTGTGTGTGTGTGTGTGTGTGTGTGTGTGTGTGTGTGCGCAGGTGCTTCAGATCGACCCCGATGCCACAGATGAGGAGCTGAAGAAACGCTTTCGGCAGGTAGATCTGAGTGTGTGTGTGTGTGTGTGTTTATAGTTTTGTGTGTGTGTGTGTATAGATGTGTGTGTGTCTCATTGTGGTCTGTCCTCAGCTCTCCATCCTTGTTCACCCGGACAAGAATCAGGATGACCCAGAGCGCGCGCAGCTGGCCTTTGAAGGTACACACTGATCTCCAACACACACTCCTGCACTCTGGGGGAGGGGCTGCTGGTGAAGGGGTGGAGTTACTGAAAGAGGAGGAGGAGCTACAGGTTAAGGGGAGGGGCTATATTTTGTTGCACAATTCTCCAGTGACTGTGTGTGTGTGTGTGTTTGTGTGTGTGTGTGTGTTTGTGTGTGTGTGTGTTTGTGTGTGTGTGTTTGTGTGTGTTTGTGTGTGTGTGTGTTTGTGTGTGTTTGTGTGTGTGTGTGTGTTTGTGTGTGTGTGTGTGTTTGTGTGTGTGTGTTTGTGTGTGTTTGTGTGTGTTTGTGTGTGTGTGTGTTTGTGTGTGTTTGTGTGTGTGTGTGTGTGTGTGTAGCGGTGGATAAGGCCTACAAGATGCTGCTGGACGGTGATCATAAGAAGAAGGTGTTGGACGTGATTCAGGCAGGGAAAGAGTACGTGGAGCACATGGTGAGACACACACACATCTCACACACACACACACACACACACATACATTCAACAGTTTCAGTGAGGTCCATCGTGTGTGTGTGTGTGTGTGTGTTTAGGTGAGCCAGAAGAAAAAGCAGCTAAAGAAGGATGGAAAGCCGATCATCGTGGAGGAAGACGATCCAGAGATGGTACAAAAACACCTGAACACACACACGCACACACACACACGCGCACACACATGCACAAACACACACGCACACACAAACACACACACACAAACACACACGCGCACACACACAAACACACACGCGCACACAAACACACATGCGCACACACAGAAACACACACACACACAAACACACACACAAACACACACGCGCACACACAGAAACACACACGCGCACACACACAAACACACACACACAAACACACACGCACACACACGCACACACACAAACACACACACTCTGTCTGTCAGCTGTGCTCATGTGTGTGTGTGTGTGTGTGTGTGTGTGCAGTTCCGGCAGGCGGTGTATAAGCAGACGATGAAGCTCTTCGCTGAGCTGGAGATCAAGAGGAAAGAGCGGGAGGCCAAGGACATGCATGAACGGTAAAACACACACACACACACACATATGATGGTGGTCGGCACTCACACACACACTTGACTCTGTGTTCTTGCAGGAAGCGGCAGCGGGAGGAGGAGATCGAGGCGCAGGAGAAGGTGAAGCGCGACCGCGAGTGGCAGAAGAACTTCGAGGTGTGTGTGTGTGTGTGTGTGTGTATGTGTGTGTGTTCTTCATCACAGGTGTGTGTGTACTGGGAGACGCATGTTAATCGTGTGTGTGTGTGTGCAGGAGACGCGTGACGGCCGTGTGGACAGCTGGAGGACCTTCCAGGCCAAAGGGAAAACCAAGAAGGAGAAGAAGAACCGCACCTTCCTGAAGCCGCCTAAAGTCAAGATGGAGCAGCGCGAGTGACACACACACACACACACACACACACACACACACACACACCTCTGTACAGAACCCTGACAATGATGATGATGATGCTGATGATGAAGAGCAGCAGTGTTCTCCTGTAGATCAGACTCTGAGCTGCTCCTGCCTCTTCTTCTTCTTCTTCTGTTGTAGTTTTTATATTGTGAACAATTAAACCCTGTTGAGTCCAGCCTGAGCTTACTCTGCTGTGTGTGTGTGTGTGTGTGTGTGTGTGTGTGTGTGTGTGTGTGTGTGTGTGTGTTTCATTTCTGTTTTTAAATGTGGATATCTGGACCTGCTGCTGCACGAGTTGTTTTAACACACAAAGGCTGAAACACACACACACACTCTTCTTCATACTGTGTGTGTGTTTCAGCCTGTCTGGTGTGAGCGCTGAGGGTTGAGTTCAGACAGTATACAGCAGTGAGCTGAGCACAGGTCACCGGGTTACGCTTCTCCTGTGAGCCTCACATGATCCTGCAGGTGTCGCTGTTTCTGTGTGTGTGTGTGTGTGTGTGTGTGAGGAAAACTGTTGAACAGAGTCTGCACTGTGTCCGCAGCGGCTCCAGACTGATCTTCATTCCTGCAGTGTCTGTGCCGGACATTAATGCGCGCTCCTGCAGCCGCGGACACCTCTCTCTCTCTCTCTCTCTCTCTCTCTCTCTCTCTCTCTCTCTCTTTCTCTCTCTTTCTCTCTCTTTCTCTCTCTCTCTCTCTCTCTCTCTTTCTCTTTCTCTCTTTCTCTTTCTCTCTCTCTCTCTCTCTCTCTCTCTCTCTCTCTCTCTCTCTCTCTCTCTCTCTCTCTCTCTCTCTCTCTCTCTCTCTCTCTCTCTCTCTCTCTCTCTCTCTCTCTCTCTCTCTCTCTCTCTCTCTCTCTCTCTCTCTCTCTCTCCAACCCTGATGGTTCTGGAACTGATCTTCAGCTCAGACGGTTCACATGTGACATGAGGACCCTGCAGAGTCTGAGCGGTTTTCTCTCTCTCACACACACACACGTCCACCTGACATCAGTGACCTGCTTTGTCTGTTCTGAGTCTGAGCACACATCTGAAGATCGTCTGAAGACCAATCAGAGCAGAGTATGGTAATCAGACAAACACCACAGTAATGAGTGGTTTAGCAGGACAGCGAACCGTTCCACTGCGGCGAGATCCATCCTGCACACACACACACTCAATCTGTTTTATTGTTTTTCCAGCAGGTGATGAGCGCACACACACACACACACACACTGACTGGCCAAATTACAGCGTCTGAGTCCACCATCACCGACAGCCAATCACAGCTCAGGCTGTTACTCTGCGGCTGCAGGAGTGTGTGTGTGAGGAGTGCGATGTTTGATTCGGGTGTTTAGAAATGACAGTAAAGACTCGGTTGTTTATTTTATTGATGACTCCTACAATAGGGTTCAGTCGAGCTCGGCTAGTAGTTTTGGAGAGTTTGATGTTTCCCCGTTTAAACAGAACGATCAAGCAAACTGCAGAGAGACGTCTCAAAGATGGCTGCCGAGTGAAGGAGTTTGGCGTCACATGATCCTTCAGTTTCTGGCACAACACTGCACAGAGCTGCGGCTGAAGAGCATTCAGCAACTCCAGCTTTGGCACAGAAGTTTCAGCTTCAAAAACAGAAAACATCCACACAACGTTACAGCAACGTCCCCACAACGCACGATGTCCTGCAGTCTGCAGTTTAACTGGCCCTCACTTGAGATGATTTAACAAACTCTACACAATTACAGGATCCTGAAGTCGAACTGGAGGATGAAAACAGGACTCAGCTCTGCGCTCACTCTCACCACGGTCCCGAAGCACACCTGCAGAGGTAAATCACAATTACTGCACAATACGTGTGTGTGTGTGTGAAGATTCAACACAAGCTGACACACACCGTCATCCACACTAAACACCTCAGTGACCTTCATATCACATACAACGATGAAAAGTGTATTAAAGCTCAACTATATTAGAGCACTGAGGCTGCGTCTGAAATCAGCCCTATACCCTCATTTACTATTCCCTACAGTAGTCCACTAATATAGTCCAGTTGAAGTGCAGTTCTACCTGAAGATAACAGTGGCTAGCTTTCATTTGAAAAGCTGCGATTATTTTCTGGGGGAATTATTTTTACTCAGCTTAAGCTACACTGCTGGTTCCTTCATGATATGTAGACAGAAACGCTGCACATGTTGCGTTCATCAGTAAACATACCTTCTGTGTGTCCTACTGTGAGTCTGTGTCTCCTGTTCTCCAGCCTCCGCAGGCCTCTCCGTCTGCCACATACACTTCCCCGCTGCTGCCCGTGCTGCTGAGCCAGTTCTGGAGCTGGGGGGCGATGCGGTCTCTCAGCTGCCGGTGTCTTGTGTTTGTGTGTTTAGTGTTGTCTGCAGGCCTCCAGTCGCTCCTCTGCCCACAGGTCTGCTTCGGCTCCCGGAGCCATCGCTTCAGATCTAGCGTCTG